GCTAACATCTGATTACAAAGCGATTGCCTCATTACAGGCGTTATACTTCTTTGCAAACTCCCGCTTCCTGGTACATTTCATTATTTCTATTTCTTAATCTTAAAGTGTAGATTCACTTATTCCAAATTACCCAAAAAAACATATCTACTTGTACATAACCTTCGGGGCATAACAGTGGCTGGTGTTCGATTCCTGGCAGGCAAAGAGATTTTTATCTGTTTCACAGTGTACAGATTGGTACTGGGGCCAATCTACCTACATTCCCCAAACACTTTCTTAGCATGGTGCTTAAATAATTAAGCACAGGAACAACTTCACATTGTGTTTTATTTATTTATTTATTTTTTTAGTATAACTCAGTATTCTCTGTAACACCAGTTTCTCGTGTACCTGTGATTTTCATATTTCTTCAATTGTGAAGATAAAATTTTGTGAAGAAGCATAACAATTTTTTGAGTTAATAAAATAAATTGATATGACATCTGAAGGGGCAGGAAAAATCTTTCAGTTTATCTGTCATGTGGATAGTAGTAACAGTTATACATATTGTAGCGTGTTTTGTGTGTCTGTCACGCTACAAATAAGTTCACGTAGGCCTCAAATTCCGTAGAACATTTATTGTCCTTCACGCTTACACAATCATTTACACCCGCAGTGTTGCGATCACTGCTTACAATAACTCGGCGATGCTGGACTATCTCTTCTGGCGGTTATTCCAGGACTGATCCCTTAGACGGCTATTCCGAGACTTTCTTCTCCGAAGGCTTGATCACGACTGGCTTCTTAGCTGGCTGTTCGGAGACTGGCTCCTTAGTCGGCTCGATGAAGACTGGCCTCTTAGCTGGCCCGATGAAGACTGAAGACTTCTCGTCGAAGCTGGGCTTTTATAACCTTGGCCGCTGTTAGGCAACGAACCCTTTGTTATAACCATGGAGACTCCTGTTAGAACTACAATGGAGCAATTGTTGTCTCCTCTGTAACGGTCTATTCTAGCGTTTCCATAGCAGTGACTCTTCTGGATTGCAAACATGTTACAATATATTTAATTAATACATGATAATTTGGGTTTTGAATGACGTGTGTCAGGAAATGGTAGTGGTTTTACCTTGTCCCTGGACTTTCTAGAAGTAGCTGTCACATTCCTCTAGAAGTTCTTCTTTCATGACTAAGAGAGGATATGAAAAGGGAATGATTAAATATAGTCAGGTCACTTGGCCACAAATGATAAGCTTTTACAGCCAAGCAGTATTGCAGGAATTTGCAGTAAGACTTTTAAGTTCTTAGGAAATGGCTCCACAGATAACTAGTAGCTTCAGATGTAATTCATAAAGTGTGCTTTCCTGTTGATACTTTTCCAAGTCCTACAGAGGCATTCTTGTTGTTGTTATTGTTGTTGTTGTTGTCATCATCATTGTTGTTGTTGTTGCTGTTGTTATCAATTACTTAAATTCAGATTTCATTTTTGTTAATTTGTTGATTATAATCTTAACTGTCTCTGTATGTGTAATAATTGTTGACTTATTGACAGTGTTATAGACATAAATAAAGTTTATGATTTGTCTGTTTAGTAAAGGTAAAGTTGCCCCAGTACTTAATTAAGCACCACACCATGAAGACGTGCGTGAAAGGTGGTATAACTTTATGCATTTTTAACGTGAGCACTAGGTTCAGGTGAGTGGTTTGTTTCATGTCACAGCCACTGTTCCCAGAGAAGAAATGCCAGGTACCCATTGGATAGGAGACTAGGTGGGCCAAGGTAACCCTGAGAACTGCAGAGAAGAGAAACGTTTCTTTCCCCTGATGAGTCTCAGACTGTGTTTCCTTAGCAGTCCAGCACAAAGCCTGTCACTATACCGACCGAGCTATCTCGGCTACAAGTGACATTAAGAAGTCTGATTCTCTGGAATAATAAAAGGCACATTATCGACTTGAGTGGTTTTATGAGTAATACTCGTTCCAGTTAAAAAATATAGTGTAATTGACTGCAAACAAAGGTTTTAGTTTCTGGCAGTGAGAATTCCAGTCTCCTCAACTTCTTACTGGTTTTCAGCTAGGACACTTTTATGCTTGTAGTTGAATGTCACCAAGTAATATTCAAAGTTCTGGCCATAAACGCTACCCTATTGCTTTAATTAGAATCTGAATGAGTCACAGTCTGAAATGGGAACTTGTTTTCATTGACTCAAATCTGTATACATTGTTTCTCTGTACATTGAAAGAAATTCATGTGACTGAACATTGTTATTTCATAAGAATGAACATACTGAAGAAACGTGTTAGAGTTCCAGATCATTAATGTATTGCTATGTGTCAAGGTAAACATGTTTTTTTAGATGTACTAAAACTCACAGATCCATAAATATAATTCACAAGTCTCTCCATCTCTTGGACAGGACATCTAATGAACTTCATGGAGCAGAATCCTTTTGAGAAGCCAGTAGTAGTTAGTCATAAAAATCCACTGCCTTTTTGATGGAGAAACTGGGGTGCTTTCAATACTATGTGCTCAAGAGCCCACTGTGGGACAAAATACCCTCGGGGATCAAGCAAAACTGTTTGTAACTCCTGGAAAAGTATTGTGTTTTTTTTAAGGCTTACAGTAATATTCTTGAATACTTAATTAGGATAAGAGAAGTTTTTTGGTACAGGAAAATACATTGGGGCTGGAATTATTTCTATAATAATCAACACCCCCCAGAAAAATTGTATTTAACTGCTACCAAAACATACTATAAATGCTCCTGTTGCAGAAGTATTACTGAGGCATTCTAAGATACAGTCCAAAGTTGAATGTCACCACCATTTCTGAGGAAAAACTGAAATTGCATACTAACTGAGAAGACAAGGCCACACCATAGCTCAAGCGCTTAGTCGCTGGCTTTCCACTGCGGCGGCCCAGGTCCGATCTCGGGTCTGGTCAGGTGGGATTTGTGGTGGACAAAGTGGTGCTGGGGCAGGTTTTCTCCAAGTACTTCAGTTTCCCCTGCCAATCTTCATTCCACCAATTGCTCCACAATCACCCTCACCTATCATCTGGGGCTGGTACAATAGGCCAGAAGTGGCCGCAGTACAAGGGACTTAGTCCCACCCCACTAGCAATAAAAAACTGAGAATACATGATTGTTCTGTAGGTTGACTCTTGGTGCATTCAAACATTATATGAAACTGTTCTTTAAGCCAAATTTGTTTTAATCACAAGGCTTGATTATTATGGGTGTTCACTGATGATAGGCCGCCTCTGTGGTCTAGTGTTCAGAGTTCCTGGCTACAGATCCAGAGGTCCTGGCAGTACCAGATTTTCTGAGAAGTAGTGGGTCTGAAATGGTGTCTACTCAACCTCGTGAGGATAATTGAGGAGCTGTTTCAAGGAAATAGTGACTCTGGTCTAGAAAACCGAAATTAACAGCCATGGGGGTTCATTGCGCTGACCATGCGACACCCTCTATCTGCTAAAGTTGGCACTAACTTCGCTGACAAGCAGCAGTCGCACGGTCAGTATAATTCACTTGCAGACTAAAACCACAGAATTTGTTTTTGTTCACCGATGACAGCCATTGTTGATCACATTTTTTATTTGTGCATAAAACATGTGTACAGGTCTAGTCTCTTATCACATACGAAGGGGGACCCAAAAATAACCGGAAACGACCTGTTGCGCGCCCATGCTTTGTAGTTACGAGTTGTGCTGCTAGGTGGTGTTAGCTGGGGGTCTCCCGCGACTGTTAGTGAGCTGGCGTCAGTCTGAGTTAAGTGGTTTGTCTGTGGTGCTCTATTGTGTGCGTTCCTGTTTCAACCCTTTGGCGATTAGTGAGATGGCCGACCAGAAGGAACAAAGAGTGTGTGTGAAATTGATGAAGATCGTCGAAAGACCATTGACCAACTTTCTGAGGAAACGAACATCTCATGGAGCACGGTCCAGCGAATTTTAACCGAATGTTTGCACATGAGACGGGTGTCTGCAAAATTTGTTCCTCGCTTGCTCGGAGATGACCAAAGAGAAAACCGCGTGAATGTTTGCCGCGACTTGAAGAGTGAAGTGCAGTTTTCCCTAACAGAAAGCAAAATTTCACGCACACTCTTTGTTCCTTCTGGTCGGCCATCTCACTAATCGCCAAAGGGTTGAAACAGGAACGCACACAACAGAGCACCACAGACAAACCACTTAACTCAGACTGACGCCAGCTCACTAACAGTCGCGGGAGACCCCCAGCTAACACCACCTAGCAGCACAACTCGTAACTACAAAGCATGCGCGCGCAACAGGTCGTTTCCGGTTATTTTTGGGTCCCCCCTCGTGCACATGGCATTTTGCCTAGGCACAGAGGTGAATGTGCTATGGCAGTAGACCCAACTATGGTCCATTCATTTGCAGAGTTTGGCTCACTATTCTTTACATACAGATGCTCCCAGAATCCACTTGTGGTTTATTTAATTGCCCTGTCAGTAGCTCAGATAATACACTCAAATTGTAGGATGGTTAGTGAGTGACAATTTGAAAAGTACATGGAAGGAACTGCCATGACCTAATTTGAGGTACTACCAGAACATTTTCCTGGAGGAACTGAGGAAAACTGTGAAAAATCTCAGGATAGCAAGTCTTAGAGCCATAATTTGAACTTCAAACCCTCTGAATACAGAGAAGGATTTATCACTTCTCCGACTTTTCTCTTCCCATTTCTTATCTCTCCACTTTTGTGAAATATGGCCCTTGTGAGGGCTATTGCTAGTTACTTCTGTTGGTTGTATCTCTCTAGGCTCCTTATATGCCTGTGTATGAACCAAGTTCTTTGTGCTTGGCTTACCCTATTCGCTGCTTTGACTATAGGATGGAGGCAGTGTATTCCTTGAAAACATTTGTGAAATTCCGCTTGATTACATGGTGTTACATCACAGAAGATAATACTTTACAGAGCAGTAGTTTTGCCCTTTTGGCTTTAATGTTCAGTGCCCCAAGGACATTTGTTTCATTGATGTACAAATGGGAATTATTTCTTTTCCAGATAGAATCTGTGGAACTGGCCTTGAAATTTCTGGATGGGTATGATCTTCGTGGCCATAAGCTGCATGTTGAAAGGGCAAAGTTCCAGATGAAGGGAAATTATGATCCCAGTCTGAAACCTAAGAAACGAAAGAAGAAGGAAAAGGAGAAATTAAAGAAAATTCAAGAAAAGTGAGTAACCTCTACTATATAAGATATTTGTATTAATTTTTTCCAGCAGTTTTGAAATGTAAATGATCCAGCAAAAAATACTAGTGCCTAATTTAGTAATTTTTAATACATTTTCTTTTATATACATATATTTTAGGCACTGTGTATACAATATGATAAGTACTAAATTCATCCATCTTGTTTGTCCTCTCCTTTCAATTCCAGAACCCACTTGACAAATGTGGATAAAATTTGGTAATAGAATTTCCACCGAAATTTTGGGATAATTTTAATGTTGATCATTTAAACCACACATTTCACATACAAACATCAATTTTTAATCATATTTTGTTAAATAAGAGTGCACAATATATTGTAACAAGAAGTATGCTAAAGTTCATTGATATATTTTTGTATACAAGTGCTGTATAATTTATTTTACTCCAAAACTAAATGGAGCAAAGACTCTGTGAGGTGCCAGTAGTTGCCCATCTAGTCAGATAACCTGCATTCTGTGGAATTGGAAGGGGAAAGTTCATTGCTGTGTTCACAAGAACGTGTCATTGTTCCCCATTGGAACTCTTTGTTTCAGGTTTTTTCCTGAAACTTTAATATATTATTTTATTTAAAATATATTATTTATTGCAGATTATTTGACTGGCGTCCGGATAAGCTGCGTGGTGAAAGATCAAAACACGAAAAAGTTGTCATTGTAAAGAATTTATTTGATCCAGCAGTCTTTGATAAAGAAGTGTCCTTGTTATTAGAATACCAGCAAGATTTACGTGAAGAATGTTCAAAATGTGGTGATGTAAGGCGAGTGGTTATTTACGATGTAAGTCAAGTATCCAGTTTCTCAGTCAGAAGTGATATTATATATATTATGTAAATAAATTCATAACATGGTGTTCAACAGACTCATTTTTTTCAAATGTGTTATTGCAGTATGCTGATACACTTTAAGATTCCAGCTTTTCACTGCAGTATGCTGTTATTTAAATTACCAGAGAGTTCTGTTATAAATGAGGAATGCACACAGAATTTTGATACCAAAACCTCTTGAGAAACATTTGCTTGGAAGACTGAGGAGGAGTGGGATGATAAAAATTAAAATGGAGCTTGGGGAGATGGTTGTTGAGGGTGAAAGGTAGACGGAGCTAGCTTAGGATCATGACCAGTGGCTGGTTTTGATATTAATGGTGTTAAACCTTTGGATTCTGCTACCATGTTGCTGATGAAGATCTTACCTGTTTAACAAAATAAACATTTTTTCAGAGGCATCCTGAGGGTGTTGCACAGATAACGTTCAGGGAACCTGAAGAAGCAGATGCCTGTGTCTCTCTGTTGAATGGACGTTGGTTTGGACAGAGGAAGATAACGGCAGAAACATGGGATGGTAAAACTAAATATAAGTAAGTATTCCGTTCAGTATGTCATAAACTGGATCTTAAATGCTAAGAAATGTGTCTCAGGATGGATGAGTCTGGACCAAAGAGTTTAAAACATTCTAAATTTGCCATATTTAATTTCTGATATGAAATTTGAATAATTTTAGAACTCATTTTGACTACTAACATTTCATGTTTTCATATAAAGTTCTGATGTATAATCAATCTTCATATCTCATAATATAAAATCCTTTGTCTCTTCTGTTACCTTTCTTTCATTCTCTTTGCCTCGTATTTGCTAGGGGAGATGTAAGATAAATAATATAGAAATTGATCAGGCAGTACTAGAGTTCTTTCACCTCAGTCTTTAAGTTCAAAGAGGCCTGTCTCCAAAGTACGCAGTTTTATGACTCAGAAGACCATAATCCTCATAGTCACCACTGTAAGAACCTCACATCCAGTTCAGTATTTGTGTCTTGTTCCTATCCTCCCTTCCCTATTTCATGCACCATTTTTCCTTCCTCACTTTACACTTCTGCTCTGAAAGTAAGCAGCAGGTTCCTGCGAAATCTTCGCACCTGTCTATCCAAGTACATGGCATCACATCCCAGAAGGCTGTTCTTAATGACAGATTTGTTTTAGCTGGTGAAAGTGAACACTTTTAATAGCACTAAGATAACATGGCTACACTGTGATACGGATTGACCCACAATTTTTAAGACACTATTTACAGTTTCTTGTATCAAACTTTTATGTGTAAATACACTCACGTTTTAATTGAAGGGTCCAGTGGAAAAAGGATTCGGTTCCACTTTGAAAAGCTTTCAGAAAATAACAAGAACTCGTTTAATATGACATGACTGTGTGGCCCCATATTCACAGTAACAGTGTGATGAATCAATTGAGTCACCATTCTTCCACTAAAAACAATATAAAACTGACTTTCAGCTGAAACTGGAGCCACATCATTTTTGCAGTGGCCCCTTCAGTTATTCCAGTGTCTACTGCATTATAGGTTTGTGCACCTGCTTTCTTGTTTACTTCAGGGTTGCTGAAACAGATGCTGAAGTCCAGCAACGCTTGCAGAAGTGGAATAAATTCTTGGAATTGGGAGGCATTGCAGCTGGACATACATCAGAAGAGAATAAAGGGAAAACAGATGTTACAGAACAAAATGTAACTAGTGCAAAGGGCAGAGAATAGGAGGATATTATTAAGAATACATATACAGATTCTGAGGTGTCTGAAGAGACAGATGATGGCGTGTGCGCACACACGTGAAGGTAGAGGATGCATCTAAAATACAAAAGTCTGAAGAGGGTGTTGGGGGTAGTATTGGTATTGTATTTCAAGAAGGTGGTAGATGTGATGCAGAAAGCACTGATGACACAGAAGGTCATAGGAATGAAGATGATGAGATTGATGAAGGTAGGAGAATAGTGGAAACTACAGCATACATTTATGACACAATTTAGTTAATGACTTCATCTTATACCGTTCTCTGGTGAATGTAAGGATTTCTATTCATAGTGTAGAAATTCCTTAAATCTCCATGCTTTAAAGAAAATTACCAGATATATTGATACAAAAGCTTTGTATGTACTTCACAGTCTTGTCTCACAAATAGTATTGGATGAGAAGATGCCATGAACAGTAAAACTATTAATCTTCCTCAGGTAGAAATGTTTTAATTAATTTATTCCAGGAAAGAAAAGTTATATAAGGACATCACTGCTTGTTTGCCAGAAACCAATATTTTATTAAAGTGAATTGACCTTAAGTGTGAATGCAGTATTTTTAGCCAAAGAAGTGATGGATCACTAGTATCTGTTGGCATTGTGGTGGTTGTGTGTTTTGGTTTGTAAAATCAAATGACACATATTTTGACCACTGTTCACAGTAGGCTAAAATGATTCCTAAAGAAGTTGCTGATTTAATTTTCAAGTGCAAGAAAAGAGCCTATGAATCTTTTTTGTGTTCAAAAGATAACATGATTTTACAATGTATGTACCAGGGTTGGAACTTTAATAGTGGCAACACTGCTGTAGAGATGCCATGCAACGGAACCAAATAATGTCGCTTGTACCACACATTTGTTACATACCTACCTTACCTCAGGGCAAATGAACTCTCCCTTCCCACATCGCGCGCGTGTGCAGTGACTAGAAGAACAGAGCCTCATGTTATCTGGCGGTCTAATGTAGTGTTGTCACGATGTTTTCGAAACAGGAAAAACAGAGTTGGATAAAGATTGAAAGTCCCAGAGGCCATACAGCACGACGGTGTCATCAAGGTCTTCAAGAGGGAAATCTGCATTGCCTTACAGAACAGTGGCAAGGTGGGTAAATGCCTTCAACGAGGGATGTCAAAATGTGGCAGACATGTGTTGGCCAGGTCATCCTAGTGTCAGCGAAGGAGAAGTGTATGCTCTTACCGCGTTACTGGAGGGTGATCGACGCCATACGATTTGTGAGCTGGCCCGAGAGACCGGATTAGCGCTACACCCACCCCACATGCTACCTTCCTCGCTGTGTAGTGCCTCGGCTAAGTTCACGGTCATGAGTCTTGTATCTCAGGGGTACACAGGTGTTGGATGTAGGCTGGATCGGTTAATACTTAGGCACAGGTTCTTAGGAAATGAAATATCTCACTCAGTTTCGTAAGTTTCTGATTAATTAACTTTATTTATCCTATGTAGAAACTTCTCTTCCTCGATAGATTGCGTAATATTTCTTTGAAATCCACTTACATAAATCAGCGTTTATTAACAGTTCGCAATCTCTTTGATAATGCTCCTGGAGTTCACACTTATTCACTGTCCTCTTAAATGATCTTGTACTCACTCGACTCACTGACCTCCCGATNAGTGCAGTGGACTCGCTGACCTCCCTTTAGCCCCTAGTAACAAAAGGCCAGTTTAGAGGACAGTGATCCCTCCGGAGCATCTTATTTCAACAGCTAAACTTAATCATTACGTACAAACAAATAAGACATATCCATGAAGGATGCGTACGGTTACAAACTCCCCCGTTAAATCAGGTAACTTCCGAAACACATGATGAAAGAAGTTTCTCTGATTTAATGACACACTCACGTATGCCCTTCTTGTACCTAATTACGCTTAAGTTAAAATCAAACAATACAAGACTTCTTACACATATAATGGACCGCCCCCATGTTACAAATAAAATTTCACAAGCTCAGATGATAATCCTTATAATCCTATCATCCTCCTAGGATTACTCCAGTTACATCAGGTGGGTAGCATCGACACTCAGTGATTGACAGTCTTTGCTTCAGGAATCTTTCCGCTTACATCACAATAGCTCACTTACACTCCTATCCGTACTCGCCTTTTGACAATTCTAACCAACTATTATTTCCTCAGTAGGGCCGACGCCCACACCTACATTTAAATTTACACTCAATTTTCGGCGACGTCGCTTTCAGCGCAGCTTCCTTATGCCTCTCAGGCCAATTATCTATCACCACTCACATTCTTGTTTTGATGATTTCACTTTTAGAATGTCTCTGTCCCTTCTTCCTTCCACGCTTTTATCCCTCTCCACTCACTCGCTCGATGATACTATTTTAATATTTTCTTCCGTAATTTTCTTCTTCCGACGATACACTTTTAGGATATGGGTGGAATTCAGTTCCCTCATCTGATGATAAACTTAGCTTCCCTATACTGAACTGATCTCAAATCACCGATGTTCTCAACAGATATTATTAGAGCTACCAGACTGCAATTATATGAGTAACCACAAGCACTACGGGGATTTCACCTTTCCCCTCCTCATCATACATACATACCTCCAATCCTCATCCATTCTTCATGGGGACGCTCCACTCTTAACATTATAACAACAGATCATGTTTATTCCGTATACCTATCTTAACAATTATTATCTTATTATGAATTCAGTTCATCACCCAATGCCATGTGAATTTGTCAGAGGTATGGAATGGGGTTTTAGAAGATAGACGCATTATTGCATCCCAAAATTAATGGATGTATGTAGTGGTGGGTCCATTTCCAGCGTACACCTTTCTTTAGTAAGGGAACCAATGGGGCAATATATTCTGCGTAATTGATAATAAACCAATGGTGAAAGTTGCAGGTACCCAAAAATTGCCGCAATTGTCCCTCAAACGTTTTAATTTGATCCCAGTTAGCATCAGCCCACATCATGACTGAAATGCCTTTTAAAGATTGCCGCGCTACAGCTAACTGAAGCGGTGGAGGAATATTCTTGATCTGTATGTATTCACCTAAGGAATTCAAATGTGCCTGGGCGTTTTGGTCCGGTTTGTTTTCGATATTGGTAATGCGAGATCTACAGGGTGACTGAGGATCCCTCTGACAAATTCTCCAGGGTTGCCACTCCACACTTTCTCCTGACTGTCGACGTCATTGTGAGGATTAGAACCATTACATGAAACTTCATTACTTACTGGTTCATTAACATGAGTAATCATGATGTCTGAGCTTGAGAGGGTTTTTTCAATCCTAGAATCCGATTGGCGGTTAGTAATCCCCATACATTGAACTTCTTCACCATTACTCTTACTTTCTACTCGTTTCTGATTTTTCATTAGCTCAACTTGCGTCCTCAATTCATCATATTGCTTACTGACAACATCATACTTTTCCTAATATGTCCGCTAGCCTGTCCAATTTCCACCACTCGTTTCTCGCATTGATTTACCCTCTCACACCTTTCTCAGACTGCTTAGCCAGCTGAGCGTGAGATGCTGTCACCTCCTGTCTCAAGATTTCAAAATTGTTAGTAATTTCAATTTTATCATTCTGCACTTTCTCAGTCAGTGCTCGAAACTGTCCGTTGGTACTCTCTGTTATTTGGCTAATTTCCCTATTCATTGCTTCAATCTTCCGATCTGTCCTCAGTTCTACGTCACTCGCGATCTGATTCATGGATGACAGCATCTCGCGCTTGTGTACAATAAATATGTTCTCCAACCTTTCATTAAATTCCTTTGCTCTCCTTTCACCCTCCTTCCTAAATTCCTCTCTAATCTTTTCACTCTCCTTCCTATTCTCTCTAATCTCCCGGAACATCTCCATTCTTTTATTGCTCTCCTTCCTATTCTCCCGAAACATCTCCTTCATACATGTGAAGTCGTCCAATTTAAGCTAGTGCTTAAATTGGAATATTAAGAGTAGGACTTGGTGTAAGCGGCTTATAAACAACTGACACTTATATCCCTGCGGCACTTAATAGTGGCGCCATAGTGTCAGTTGTTAAGTGAAGCAAAAATATATACATACATTATGAGTAAAGGAGGCCGCTTAGCGCTTGTAATATGACACTTTGCAGCTGTGGTCTAGCGAGGTCTCAAGAGTCGTTGAGAATATCGCTGGACCAGCGGCTTCGAAGATGTAACTTGTACGAAGGGTATTGGAGGATTTAAATTTGTAATACCCGCCTTCCTTTTGAATGATCGAATCAGAAGCAATGATGGAATATATCTGCGAGGGTGGGAGAATTAATGTCCCAACACTCAACGATATATTCCGAGCTTCTAAAGGAGTGCTGGTTCGGTCATTCATGCGGATAGACGTGTTTCTGCATATAATATATTAAACCAGTGAGCAATTGTAATGTGTGTAGGTGTAATAGTATTACCTTTTGTCTCATAATCCAAGACCCGTATAGCGACCCTGAGGAAGACTTTCATTGCCACCGGAACCCAACCAACATCACATGTAAAGGGCGTTAGAGCGGTAACACATGACATTATCGCTTGCATATCTATTTGGTCGTCTTTCCCCTTTTTGTCAGCACTCGTCAGTTGTTCTCCCCTACTCTCACTTATTCCGCCTGTGTCCCCTTCTGTCGGTTGACCACACTGCATGTCCATTTCTCCTTCTGAATCTTCCCCACCCTCACCTATAATTACGCCTTCTAACTGCGTCATCTCCTCATCCATCGTTTCACTTTCTTCACTATTGTCTCCGATTACCCTTTTGTTTCTCAAATGTCTGCGAGTAATCATACCTTCCCTGATTATTAACAATCCTAGTCTGTCTCTGTCACTTTCACTTTCCACCAACCTGACCTGAAG